CGTTATGCTACAAGGGGAGAGACTGAGAAGAAAGGGAGGAGCAAAATGAAGTCACATGGCAGACATTTGCTAAGCTACTGGCTTAATGAGACAAGTGAAAGAACAGCAAATGTACTCCAGAGACGAGCAAGAGCGGATTCAGATAGATTACGGGCTTCTTTTTTTTTTTTTAAGATTTATTTATTTTTATTGGAAAGGCAGATATAGAGCGAGGAGGAGAGACAGAGAGGAAGATCTTCCATCTGTCCGATAGTTCACTCCCCAAGTGACCACAATGGCTGGTTCTGCACCAATCTGAAGCTGGGAGCCAGCAACCATATGGGATCCTGGAGCATTCAAGGCGAGGACTTTAACCACTACGCTATCGCGCTGGGCCCTATGGGTTTTCTTCTGTGTGTGGACTTAGAGGGTAAAGGAAAGGAAAGTTTTGAAAGGCTAGTTTGTATGTGATAATGTTATTATAGTTCTTTTGAAAGTTCCTTTTTTGATTGAATCAAATAATAAAGTAGAAGAGTAAAATTATGGATATTTGATGTTGGTTTTAAAATACAGCCCAAAAATACTACAGAGAGCTAGATTAAACATAGTATTTCTAATACTGTTGAATGAGGCGCAGAGGTGTGGCACTTCAGGTTAAGCCTCTGTGGTGCTGGCATCCCACGTGGCAACCATTTCAGATCCCAGCTGCTCCACTTCCAATCCAGTTCCTTGCGTATGCCCTGGGAAAGCATCTTAAGTACTTGGGTCCATGCACCCACATGGAGACACAGAAGCAGCTCCTGCTTGTTGACTCCTGGCTTTGAATCAACCTAGCCATTGCAGCTATTTAGGGAGTGAACCAGTGGATGGACGATATCTCTCACCCTCACTCCTCTTTTTTCTTTACCTCTGTTTTTTTTCCTTAATATTTATTTTTTTATTGCAAAGTCAGATATACAGAGAGGAGGAGAGACAAAGAAGATCTTCCGTCCGATGATTCACTCCCCAAGTGACCGCAACAGTCAATGCTGAGTTGATCTGAAGCCAGGAGCCAGGAACTTCCACCAGGTCTCCCACACGGGTGCAGGGTCCCAAAACTTTGGGCCATTCTCGACTGCTTTCCCAGGCCACAGACAGAGAGCTGGATGGAAAGTGGGGCAGCTGGGATTAGAACTGGTGCCCATTTGGGATCCTGATGCGTGTAAGGTGAGGACTTCAGCTGCTAGGCTACTGCGCCAGGCCCAATTTTAAAGATAGAACATTAATCAATGCTGTGATACATTGTCCTGTAAATTATATATTAACAATGAGATAAAAGCAAACAATCACAACAATAAATACTGTAACATAAATTATCTTGTGAAAAATAATAAGAGAAACTTCAAAAGGTTATGGTAAATGACTTCGCATCCTCAACTACCAAAGTAAAATTGACTGAATTCAAATCCAGTTCTGAGTCTAAAGCTTTCACAGGTGTGTCAGATTACGAGAGCTTTACACTTTGAATTGGGTGGTTTCACCCACTTGGTATTCCAATGTATTCAAGTAAATTGTTTAAATATTGTCATTTAGCCTATGGGACATGACATTAAAAAAAATCAGGACGTAACATTAAAAAAAAAAAAAACCTCTTGAATATACCATTTATGAACCTTAAATATGTGTTACTCTTTTAGCATGTGGCCCAGTACAGTTAAACTGCCAAGAAGAACATAATCATTTGTGTAAGGCCATGCTGTACCCACCATTACTGCGGCAGAGCCAGGCATCAGGATATTTTAAGCTTCCAGCTGCCTGCAGTGCACAGGCAGGGCTCAGAACCACAGACTCCCTGTTTACCAATGGGGAAGTTGAGGTCGGAGTCGGCCACCACCAACTCACCCACCCAGGCACACCGGTGGCCAGACTGGCTCAAAAACTCAGCTCCTCTGCCTTCCAGACATCCACACACCCTCAGGGAGAAGGGAGGGACTCACTGGAGAAGCGCTTGAGGCCACTGAGCAGGCATCTTCTCATTTAAGAAAGGCTGCTGTCAATACCAACGGCATGGTGGTGGCAGTGTCAGGACTCAGTCCAGCCTTAGCATCGTCATTTTAACTAATCTCCACCCTTATGGACTTCTTGTGTACTGGCCAGTTTGAGAATAGCTGCAGTGGAATGCCCAATGAGGCACCATTAGGATAGAGAGGACCGACCTAACAGTAGACGCAGGTCACCCAACGGCTAAGACTGTCCATCCACCCCGTCCTGTCCCCTTCTGATTACAGCTGAGTCAAAACTTTCATAGCCTAAATTGTATCAAAAAACAAGAACAACAGCAAAACAAACAAACAAACAAAAAACCTCTCATAGCCTCCTTTCTTTCGGGTCCATTACATTAATTTTACAGCTTTTAAAGAAGGAGTCCAAAGAGTGGGAAAAAATCATAAGATTTGCCTATTTGAGGGCTGGCGCGGTGGTATGGGAGAGCAGAGAAGGATGGCCCCAGTACTTGGACCCTGCACCCACGTGGGAGACCTGCAAAAAGCTCCTGCCTTTGTATGGGTTCATGGCCATTGCAGCCATTTGGGGAGTAAAACAGCCGATGGAAGCTTTTTAAATAAAGAAAATTTATATTTATATGTTTGAAAGGCAGGAAGAGAGAAAGAGAGAGAGAGAATGAATGAGAGTAAGACAGAGAATCTTGCATCTGCTGGTTCACTCCCCAAAAGGCTGCAGCTTGCCTGAAGCCAGGAGCCAGGAGCTTCTTCCAGGTTTCCCACATGCATATACGGGCCCAGTGCTTGGGCCTTGGTTGCTTTCCCAAGTTCATTTAAAGACAGCTGGATGTGAAGTGCAGCAGCAAGAACTCAAATCAACACTATAAGGAATGTTAGCACCAGTGGTGTACCCACTACGCCTCAACACTTCTCCCCTCCCAACAAAATTTTGTGTAATAGATGGATTCTCTGAATCCAGAAGGAGTAAAAATAAAATTATTAGCACTTATTTTTCACAATGAAACAATATTATGGTTATGATTACCGATTTGTGGAGTTTCTTGATATTTTGTAATAAAATCTGCATGTCCTAGTGATACTAGTAAGGCTTCTGCCCTTTATAAAAGTCATGAACTTTTCACACTTTAATAATTGTGTTCCATTGGTGTAGAAGGACATTGTGACCCTACAAGGTCAGCGAGCACAGGATTACAATTGATGGGATAACATTTGTATGAGAACTGGACGGATGCCATTTGTGTGACTGATTGGGTATCATCTGTATGAGAACAGCTGAGTGGACAGCATGTGAATGAAAACACTGGGTGGGATATACAAAATAAAAGTTCCAAACAAGAGTATAGAAACAATTGATGGGTTCCATAGATAAGCTCAATACCTCCTCCCTTGTCCTAAGTGACCCTTGGTCTATGAAAGTCTGATGCCACTAATAAACTTTGCTTGGTCATTCTTCTATTTTGGCTTGCTTAACCTGGTCAATCCTTGAAAAAATCTCATACACAGTACTGCAGGCATGGGAAAATCTCAAAACTTTTTGTTAGGAGATCATACAGTTAAAACATCCACACACTTGGGTTTCCAATGCAAGCTTTTGATCTCAGGGTCATTCCATTCAAGAAATCAAACTGACAGTCTCCTCTTGGAAATAACTGCCCCTTTGCCAATCCACGTCTGGATGGGTCACTGTGCCCCTTGCGCTCTCAGCACTTTCAGGCCTTGACCCCAGCCCTCACTTCCTCAGTTTTGCAATGTGCTGGCCACTTTCTTGGATACTCTATTCGCATAATGTCATTTAGTTCTCGCAAAATTCTGCGAGCTTATGATGTCTGTCACAGAGGAGATGACTGAGATAGGAAGTTGTCCAAGTCTATACAACTCTGCGGGTTCAGTCAGCGTTCGCGACCCAGGGCCTAGTAGTGTGAATCAGTGTAGGCTGTTAACTCTTGGATGGCAAGATCCGGTTTGTTTTCTTTAGGCATTACAAAATCCTCGAAGTGTTGGCAAACTTCTTGGCAAGCACAAAGGGAGTAGTCATCCAGGTATCTTATCTTTCCATTATTCAAAAGGGGCTCAGGATACTGTATTATACTTTTGCCCTTGTAGACATATCTCTGGTCATTTAACCCTCTGAAAAACGTTGTTTTGAAGTTGGGTGGGGTGAATTTCAACGAATTCCTTGCTAGGGAAATACCCAAGTGACTTTTACACACCCATCTCTTTAGATACAACCCAGTGAAGTAAAACTGATAGGATTAACCTGTTTTTGCAGATGACTCAATTGAGGCCAAAAGTTGAGAAATTCTTTTCCAGGTTGATCCAACTTAAAAAAAAAAAAAAAAGAAAGAAAAAGAAAAGCTAGACCTAGTATTTCAAATTAGGTCTTTTAGTTTCTGAGTCTTAGACATTCCTGAGACACATCGTCGACTTTCATTTCTGCTCGGATTGGAATCATTTGGAGGAAATATCAGACCATAGCAAGTGGCTAACGTAAAGCAGAAGGCACTGAGCAAAGTCCGTAAGGAAAGCTAGTTAGGTTAAGAGAGCAATGCAGCTTTCCATTCTAACGAAATGAAAAAGAGAAGTGGAAATGTGGAAGGAGGATTAATGCTTCAGCAGGTTCTGTGACTGGCAGTGGAAGGACCCCGGACCCTCATAGTGGCAGACGACCCTGCATGTAGGGCCTCGCGAGGAGAGCAAAGCGGGGCTGAAAATCACCTGTCCCACTTAGCATGCGCGCCGGCCCCGCCCACAGCGCGCTGGCCCCGCCAACTCCGCCCACAGCGCGCGTACGCCCCGCCTCCTCCACGCCCTCTCCGCCTACTGCGCTCGCCGGCCCTTCCCACAGCTCGTCGGCCCCGCCTCCCTCAAGGCCGTTCCGCCCACAGCGCGCGCCAACCCCGCCTCCTTCAAGGCCGCTCCGCCCACAGCACTCGCCGGCCCTTCCCACAGCGCGCGCCAACCCCGCCTACAGCGCGTCGGCCCCGCCTCACCCACGCCCGCCCCGCCCCCGCGCTCCCGCTGGTCTCTTAGGTGATGCTGCAGCCAAGATGGCGCCTGCGGCGGCCGCGGTGGCCTGAACGTCATGCTCCGGGTCGTCGGCAGCGGCGGCGGCTGTGGCCTCGGCCGGGGGCTCGTGTCTCTCCCTGCCGTGAGCGCCCAGGCATCTTTCCTCCTGCCGGGCTGCCCTGGACAGAGAGGAGACGGCCACGAAGAGAGGAGGCAGTGAGGAACAGCAAGAGAGAGCGGCGGCGCCTCCCGTCCCGGCACCATGGCTGGAATCATTAAGAAACAGATCTTGAAGCACCTCTCCAGGTCAGTCAGCGCCTCTGGCGGGGGAGTCAGTCGGCCTCCGCGCTCGCCTGCCGCCGAGAGGGCAGCCCGTGGCCTCGGTAGTGACGGAGGTTTTGCAAGTTGTGTGGGAGGCGACTCGTTGGGTTGCCCGGGTCCAGCTGAGGGCACAAGTCGCGGCCCCGGCTCTCCCTTGGCTTGAGGCGCCGGGGACTGGGCTGACGAGTCAGCCCCTGCCTGGGTTCCCCACCTCGGCCCAGTGTGTCCAGGGAGCTCCAAGTGCTTGGGTGGGATCGCCCCGGGACCGGCTCGTGGAGGTTGGATTTGACCTGGCGCCTCCCGGGTGTCCGGTGGCTGTGTGGGCTCGAACCCGTGCTCCGAAAGGAGCGTTTCCGTTACCCCAGGGCTCCCAGCCTGGTGTACACGCACAGGGCCAGGCCTGGGTGTGTGTGCTCAGTGAAACGTTAACCTTGTGATTGTTCTGCATTCCTCCCCCCAACCTCCTGCTCGACGTTCCCTCTCATGCATACGGGTGTGACTGTTTACACAGTTAGGATTTAGGGGGAGAGCCAGCCTTGCCAGCCTTGCCAGCCTTGCCCAGTCCTCTCTGGGGTCGCAGTTCTGCAGCGTTTTGCTGTTTTTAAGTCGAGACCCTTACATTCAAGGAGTTAACATCTGTGCTGATTCAACGCAAGACATGTCATTCTTTCCATTTCATAACACAGTTTTAGTCAGAAACATGACTCAGGAGAGCTGGCAGTTTGCGAACTGCTCCTGGCTTCTCCATATTTGTCTCAAGATCCGGGCTAAATGTAGGATCTTGTCCCAAGTTGACGGCCAGCGTGGAGTGCTTGGTTGCTTTCTCTGTTGTTTGTCAGTTAATGATTACTCTTCAGTGATTGCAGAGACAGGCTGGGGTGTAATGATAGACTTGTACAGCAAACACAATCTTTGATTCTCCAGACTGCTTTATACCAGAGGTTATGGGTTGGAAACAAAATCAATACATGTGTGGCTCAGCAAATCTATTACATTGAACAAGATGTGAATTTTTGAACAAATATCAAATCATAGCATCCCGTATGACTATCCATTTGTCATAATATCTAGTTGGATAGTTTCTTTTAAAATTTGGCACATATAATGAAATACTGAATGATTTATTTTGGCAGAAGGTCTTACCTGTCTTCTTCTGAAGTTAGTGTTTAGGTCAAGTCTGGCATCAGTTGCCTTGCTTGTTTCTTGTACCCTGTCCAGAAGAAAGTTCAGACCTGCAGAAAAGACTTGGATGCCTCTTCTGTTGCTGTCAAGGATTATGGTACCTAGTTAGTAACATCCTAGATGCTCAGGGAAAAGTGAATCCAATCAGAAAATGCCTTGTGACATTAGAATTTCATTCTCTTGCAGAATTCCATTTGAGACTGACTTTCAAATATTAAGAACGAAAATATCATGGTTTACTTCATTGAAGATAACACACTATTCAGAATTGAATAGTTAAGATTGCTTTTTTCGTTTGTACTGCTTCTTAGAGTTGTGTGGTAAATAAGAAAGACTGTTAAAAAAAAAAAAAAAGATTTATTTACTTGAAAGGCAGAACTACGGAGAGGGCCAGAGAGAGAGGTCAGTTTTCTGTATGCAAGGGGCTGCAATGGCTGTAGCTGGCCTAGCAGAAGCAAGGAGCTTCTTTCAGGTCTCCTGTGTGGGAGAAGCGTTAGCAGGGAGGTGGATCAGAAGTGAAGCAGCCAGGACTTGAGCTGGTGCCCATTTGGGATGCTGGCACCACAGACGGTGGCTTTAGCCACTGTACTACAGTGCCATCCCCAATAGTGAAGATATTTTTGAGAGATAAATCTAAAGGCTCTTTATAATAGACAAGCTTGGCAAGTGTGATTTGTTGTATTATTCAAATAAAAATGAACTTTTGAAATTTTGTGGGTCAGGTTTAATTTTACTGATTATACATTGTGTGTTTTTTTTTTAAATAATTTATTTTTTTATTGGAAAGGCAGTTATTCAGAGAGGAGGAGAGACAGAAAGGAAGATCTTCTGTCCGATGATTCACTCCCCAAGTGACCGCAACTGGCCAGTGCTACGTCAATCCAAAGCCAGGAACCAGGAGCTCTTCCAGGTCTCCCACATGGGTGCAGGGTCCCAAAACTTTGGGCTGTCCTCGACTGCTTTCTCAGACCACAAGCAGGGAGCTGGATGGGAAATGGAGCTGCTGGGATTAGAACCGGCAACAATATGGTATCCTGGTGTGTTCAAGGCAAGGAGTTTAACTGCTATGCTATTGTGCCAGGCCCACTGATTATACATTGTAATGAAAAGCTCAATGTATTGATCTAGTGCTCTGGGTTACAGTTTCAGACAGTTTCACAGGAAATATTAGAATACAGTTCTTTTTATTAATGCACAACTCCTGTGCCTGTAGATTCGGCTTCCCTGACCACACAGTTTAAAATGAACTCTCATTCCCACTGTCCCACTCATTGATTTCGTCTTTTCCTCTCATCCTCATCTGTCGTTATGATCCATGCTTTTTTTCTGTTTGCTCCTCCTCTACGTTTGGATGTAACATGGGAGCCAGGCTTTTTGTCAGGGCAGGCACGGAGTTGGCTCTTAGTAACTGCTGAAGGAATAACATGAATGAGCTGCCTCTCCCTTACCACTCTGTAACTGAGGGAAGGCTGTATGCTACTATCATGATTGTAGTTGGCCAAGGTCAGGGCAAGGTACAGTTCCCTGTGGTTTTAGGACGCAGTGGTTGATTGAATAATTGCGTAAGTGTGTACCATGGATGTCCTGGAAAGGCAGAGCTAGGCAAATGACCTAGTTTTTATAAGGTCTTACATATATAGGGGATTCTTCAGTAAGGACACGGCCTAGTTCTCATATAGGGGTCTTCCCCCTGAGGAAGAAGACCAATAGGAGAAATAAATGCTCACTCCTAGCCTTGACATTGATGTACAGTGAAACTCCGAAATTGAAACTAGTGTTTCCTGGATGCAGGTTTTTGAGAATCTCGTGTTTTGGGAAAGTTACAGAAGAGGAATTGTTTGTAAAACATTAACAAATACTTCAAGTAAGTGCTGAGCTATTTGGGAAATGCAAACCTGCAGACTTACTACTTATCTGATGGTTGTTGAGTTTGCATTCCAGCACTGGTAAAAAGGCTTCTCTTGCAGCACTAACAAAAAGCTTCTGCACTTCATTCATCTGAATGGAGGACACGGAGTGTGTTTGCTGCGAGACGGGAGTTAGAGCAGTGATTATTTTAAAGAAAAGTCAAAGAGGAAAAACCCATGAAGGAGGAATGTCTGCAGTGCTTCAAACTAGAGCAGCATAAAGCATGTTTGGGGGACTTTGCTAGGATAGTCCTTTTTTTGAGAGAGTGCAATGCTCTGAAGTTGTAAGGGAAGCAGAGGAGTAAGCAGGAGCTGCCTTTCAGCCCAAGGCCTTATTTACTCTGTGTGAGTGTGTCCATGTGCATAGGTGTGCACACAGGGCCAAAGAGATTTGTATATTTAATGAAGCCAGGACCTCACAAAGAGTGGGAAAGGTTCAGATATAAATACTCTGGACCTTTGTAGTCCCTGAGGCTCAGGACACCAAGTGCTAGGTGCCAGGTTCACTGGGGAGTTAAGAGTTGACTGGGCCTACCTGTACCCCTAACCTGAGTGGAGTTTTTATATAACTTAAAAACCGTGATCAACCAGGGACGTTTTTACTCTTTGGGAAATCTGGCAATGTTTGGAAACATTTTTGGGTGTTAGATTTTTGGGAATGGCTGTGATTGACTTCTAGAAGTAAAGGACAAGGATGCCATAAAACATCCAGTAGTGAATACGAGTCACACCAACCATTTCTTGGCCCGCATGTCTGTAGCTTTGAAGGTTGAAGCTCAGGTTGAAAGTATACAGATATTAGCAGATATTATACAGATATGATCAGGTGAATGAGCTGGATCTCTGTGCCAGCAAACAATAGAAAAGTGCTCCGAGTGAAAGAAAAGCAACAGAAAGTGCATTGGAGTGGGTCACAGAGCCGGAGGGAGACAGGAGCGGCCTCACCAAGGGAAGGCCAGGAGCCCAGGCAGCGCTTCCAGTCTCACTTCCTCTTGGAGCCGGCACTGTTGACATTTTGCACTAAATTCTTCATTTTTGGAGAGTTGTTCTCTTCACTGTAGAATGTTCAGTGCCTCCAGAGGTTGCCACCTGCCACTTGGGGAGAATTGGCTCTTGATTGGGAGCCACAGCTTGGAAGTGCTGTCAGCTCTCTGTCGCTGATGTCTCCTGTCAGGTTTTAGATCCCCAGACCCGAGAATCTGTGCAGCCTAGTTCTAGTTACTCACAGATAAATTAGCAATGGGTTTGGGGAACTTTTCTTTCTTTCTTTTTTTTTTTCTTAACCATTCCAGATGTTGTATCTTTTGAAAAGAGAAGTACCACCTCCCCCCCTTTTTTAAAGTTTTATTTACTTACTTTAAAGGCAGAGTTACAGAGAAAAAGATCTTCTATCCACTGTTTCACTTCCCAAATGGTCGCAGCAGCCAGACTGTGACCGATTGCTGCCAGGAGGCAGGAACTTCTTCCGGTTCCTCATGTTGGTACAAAGGCCTAAGAACTTGGAAATAGCCTGGATCCATCCCAGCTCCAAAGATATAGATAAGGAAAACTACCTACTTGATCATCTAAACTTAGCTTGCTTATTAAACTAATGAGAAGGAAAAATTGAAAAAAAAATTTTTTATTTTGAAAGGCAGAGTTAGGGAGAGAGAGAGACAGAGACAAAGACAGACTTCTACCTATTGATTCACTCCCCAAATAACTGCAACCATTAGGGATGGACCGGGGTGAATCCAGGAGCCACAGACTCCATCTGGGTGTCCGTTGTGGTAACAGGGACCCAGTTACTTGAGTCATCACTGCTGCTTTCCAGAATGTACGTTAGCAGGAAGCTAAGCAGAGGTAGGACTTGATTCCAGGTGTTCTGATACCAAGTGCCAGTGTAACCTGCTGTGT